CGAGCTAAGCGGGTCTTCTATGACTCCATTGTCGGGAGATTGAAGAAACTTAACCCAAGGGCAAGGCAGTGGCATCGTCAAATCAGAAAATTGACAGACTAAGGAAGAAAGCAGAACTTTGCTCCTCCGGGTTTACTTCCAGAGATTGTTGCCAATGAACTTAATGAACGCTTCATTTCTGTTGCCAATGATATTCCACCATTGGATGTCAGTCAACTGCCAGCTTACTTGCACTCCACTACTTGCGCGGCACCACCACCATCTGTGTCTCTTCAGGATGTGTTTCGAAAACTGCAAAAGCTGAACCTTAGTAAGAGTGGCGGGTGGTCCAGACTGTAATAATCTGTATCCTACCACGCATTATCAAAGAATTTGCATATGAATTGTGCTTCCTTTAGTATAAAGTTTTAATTTGTTCTCTTCAGGAAGGCAGGTTAACCAATATTTGGAAATCTATCTATGTTGTTCCCGTTCCGGAGTCCAATCCACCTAGTCTAGATAATGTGCACCCAATTTCACTTACTTGCATATTTTCTAAAGTGTTTGATGATTTTGTCGTTGGTTGGATTTTGGAAGATATTTGTCATTCTATAGATGACCTCCATTTCGGATCTTGTAAGGGTCTTTCTACTACACATTATTTGGTTAGGTTGTTAAATGACATTTATAAGGGTACAGATAAATTGCAGCATTCCTCGGTTGTAGTTACAACAGACTTTTCGAAAGCCTTTGATCGTGTTAGTCATAAGATGGTTATTCGCAAGTTTGCTGAGCTCCGGGTCCGTCCATCAATCATCCCATGGATTTGTTGTTTTTATCTAACAGACACCAGGCAGTTAACTTAAATGGACTCGGAGCTGTCTCTACATATGAATTTACAAAGGCTTGGGTCCCTCAAGGTACTAAGATTGGTCCAGTAGCTTTTTTAACTATGATTAACGATTTTGTGTCTTTCCACCCTGAAGTGTCTTACTACAAAATATGTTGATGACATGACTTTTTGCCAGATTTATGGTGACTCAGAACAGATTATTTGTATGCAGCAGGAGCTCGACCACTTACAGGAATGGTCTCCCCAAAATCTGATGAAATTCAACCGTAGAAAATGCCAAGTCCTGGTTTCATTTTTCAAAAAATTACCCTGTTGTTCCAACATGTCATATTGGAGATTCCGTTCTTAACAATGTTAGTTGTGTCAGACTGTTAGTAGGCATTCGTGTGAAGGAGAATTTGAAGTGGGACACACATGTAACCTACATGTCTAAAGTGTTTAACAGAAAATTGTATTTTCTGCTTCCACTTTAACGGTGTAATGTTCCAGTTACTCATTTGTTGATGATCTACATCCAGCACATTCGACCCACTCTTGAGTACACCTCACCTGTCCGGTTCTGTGGTTTGACCAAACCCAGAGGGAGTGCCTGGAGAAATGGCAGCGGAAAGCCTTTCGCATTATTTTTACTGCTGGTTATTGTAAAGTACATTCTTATAGTGTTATTTGTCAACTGTACAACATCCTGTTTTGTTAGATAGACTTGAATCACTTTCCTTGAACTTTGGAAAATCACTCCTCGAGTCAATGACACATAGAGAGTGGCTGCCCCCTTTTAGGAATAATAGCTTTAGAAACACCAACAAATTAACTTCAATCAGATGCAGGACCAACCGTTACATAGTAGTTCAATCCCTTTTAAAACTTTGATTCTGAATAAGAAATAGTTTTTGTTCACTATATAAGTTTATCTACCACAACATTCTTCATTTTTGGCGGGTGGGGCGCCATCCTCTGATGTACGTGTTGGTCGGTCGGTCGGTGGAAAATGAGGAAAAATCTTTAATTGATAACAGCCACATTGAGCGAACTTCCGCCTGGCGAAATTACCCACAATGCTCTGTACGTGTGTAGCGATATCAGTCACGGACGTATATTAAAAAAATCTGGACTCGCGTTGCTCTTAATCAGCTTATAGAGATCAATGAATCCACTAGCGGCCATTTTACCGAGCCGAATACAAAGCTTGCCCGGCAAAATGCCAGCCTTTGTTCTCCCTGGCGTCGGCTCGGTAAAATGGCTAGTGGTTGGCTTCTATGTCATACAAAGGCGTTGCAAGTCCAGGTTTTTAAAAAAAATTGTGTAAATCGTTGCCAGGATCAACTTACTGGGTCTTTAGGCTTTCGTCTGAGAGCAGAATGGCTAAAATGCTGTTGAAAATGGTTCTCAGTGCCCAAAAAGTTGAGGGTTGCCACTTGAAAAATGGCTGCAAGCAGACTTCGGAAAAATCCGACTTTTAGGGGGGGTAATTTTGAATTTTGATTTTAACTGATTAATAACCAAAAATATAATCTGTTGACCGAAAGAAAATTCAAAGAAACTGAAAGATTATGGACCATACAATAATTTAACGTGTTTCAGAAACCTTAGGGATGTTGTACGCATGACGGTTAATGGCCCCGAACAATGCCGATTTGCAATGTATTCAATGGGGTTTGAATCAGTGGACAACACCCCAAAGTCGACTGCTCTTTCACATTGTTTGAGGTCGGACTCCAATCTGTTCATTTCCACGTTTTCAGCAGTGTGTCATTTTCATCCCCAGGGTTTTTCCTAGTTGATTCTAGCGCGTCTTGGAAGAAGGTACATGTAACTAGTCAAGGGGCGCACTGCCCAATACCATGCAGACGAGGCTGCAAATGATGTTCAGACTCGATCCCGCTTAATATGCAAGAGCGCTTCCGAAACAAGCTCACAGCTGAAACTGTTCTTGCAACCCTTACTTGAGAACCTGACGTCAGACACATGGTTAAAAGGAAAACGATCACTGGCATGGTCATGTAGAAACTTCTAGACGCACGTGAAGGACTCTCCGAAACAGCAGAATGGGTGACAAATCGCAAGTAAATTATTTTTCCTGTTTTATTTTGAGCAAAAATTGACCAAAAAATCTATAGTATCTAAATATCATGATATGAAACTTGTTTTGAAACATTCAACACTTAGTGTTTGAAAAATTTGTTGGGTGTGATCGTTGATCGTAGGCTAACTAGGGTTTCGAGTCAACTCGGACCCACACCAACTCGGACCCATGCCAACTCGGCCCCAGTACTAACCCAGACCCACGACCAACTCAGACCCACAACCGACTCGGGCCCAATACTAACTCGGACCCACCCTGAGTCAACTCGGACCCAACCCTAGGAGCGTGATTAACTCGTTCAAAATTTTTATTTTGTCCACTTTTACATTTTAGCATTTGGTAAATGACACTTTTGCACTACATGCTGCCAAGATTTAACGTCCTCTCTACACGTTATGCAGGGAAACAGTGGCACAGGCTTCCCAGAATTTTTCTGTTTTCGAGTTTGAACTGGCATGGTGGTTAAAACCGTACAGGACTAGATTTGATATCAGTGATGTCTTGGAACAAGTGATAAGTAACCGACGAGCGTCGTATTTTTAATGGAGGCACATTTCCTTTGATGTCTTATTTGCTGCTTGTAATCTGGAATCTTAATCAGGTATTAGCTTCCAAGGTACCGGCATGATTAACCATAAAGACTGATTTTGTCACCTTCCATTCTTGAAACCCTGTGATCGGGGAGTGGGAGCTTGGGACATCGACAACCAATGGGAGCAGCTTTTGGAGTGGGATTGACAGT